AGTGTCAGGCTGGAGAGGCAGTCACAGTGTCAGGCTGAAGAGGCAGTCACAGTGTCAGGCTGGAGAGGCAGTCACAGTGTCAGGCTGAAGAGGCAGTCACAGTGTCAGGCTGGAGAGTCAGTCACAGTGTCAGGCTGGAGAGTCAGTCACAGTGTCAGACTGGAGAGGCAGTCACAGTGTCAGGCTGAAGAGGCAGTCACAGTGTCAGGCTGGAGAGTCAGTCACAGTGTCAGGCTGGAGAGGCAGTCACAGTGTCAGGCTGAAGAGTCAGTCACAGTGTCAGGCTGGACAGTCAGTCACAGGAAAGGTTGCAGTGGAGAACAACTCAAAACCCCAGAAACATATGGTGGGACCCCCAAAAAAAAACATTAGTTAATCGAAGCACAAAGGGGGTCATGAACTAGAGCTTATGACCTCCACAGAGACAATGAGGTAACTACAACAAACTCCCAAGTAGCGTCATTTAAGCTAAAAACCTTGTGTAGTTTTAACAATAGGTTAGATAAATACATGAGCGGGTGTGAGTTGGACCTGACTGGTTTAGGCCAGTAGGTGACTTGGACTTGCCTAGCATGAGCCAATAGGCGATTTGGACCTGCCTAGCATGGGCCATTACGTGATTTTGACTTGCCTAGCATGGGCTAGTACACCAGTAAGAAAAATAAAAATCTTGTAGGAAAAAAGGAACAACAGAGATGGAATACTGCGATAGATGGTATAAAGGAGACCAATGAGGAGAATGGAGAAGAATGAAACAGAGGCGTGGTTGGCAGATAGGCAGCAGAGAGTTTGCATAAATGGGAAGAAATCAGAGTGGGGGCGTGAAACTAGCGGTGCTCCACAGGGGTCAGTGTTGGGCCCCTTGTTGTTCATAATTTACATAAACGGCATAGATGAGGGAATAAACAGCGACATAAGCAAATTTGCCGATGACACCAAAACAGGTCGTCGAATTCATTCTGAAGAGGACAGGAAGATTTGAATAGACTGATGCAGTGGTCGGAGAAGTGGCAGATGCAGTTTAATATAGACAAATGCAAATTTCTAAACATTGGAAAGGAAAAAAACATGCCACATATAAACTAAATAATGTAGCTCTTAATATTACTGATTGAGAAAAGGATCTGAGAGTTCTGGTTAGCAGTAATCTAAAACCAAGACAACAGTGCATAAGTGTTCGCAATAAAGCGAACAGAATCCTTGGCTTCATGTCAAGAAGTATCAATAATAGAATTCCTCAGGTTGTTTTTCAGCTCTTTATATCTTTGGTTAGGCCTCATTTAGATTAGGCTGCACAGTTCTGGTTACCGTATTATAGAATGGATATAAATGCTCTGGAAAACGTACAAAGAAGGATGACAAAGTTGATCCCATGAATCTGCACTCTCTAGAAAGGCTTAAAATTAGGAGGGATATGACTGAGGTGCATAAATGGAAAACAGGAATAAATAAAAGGAATGTAAATAGCGTGCTAAAAATATCTAGCCAAGACAGAACTCGCAGCAATTGTTTTAACTTGGAAAAAATTCACATTCAGGAAGGATATAGGAAAGCGCTAGTTTGGTAACAGAGTTGTGGATGAGTGGAACAAACTCTCGAGTACTGTCACAGAAGCTAAAACGTTGTGTAGTTTTAAAAATAGGTTAGATAAATACATGAGTGAGTGTGGGTGGGTGCGAGTTGGACCTGGCTAGCTTGTGCTAACAGGTCTGATGCCGTGCTCCTTCCTTAAGTGGATGTGACACGACCTGACTAGGTTGGGTCACTGGCTTAAGCCGGAAGGAGACTTGGACCTGCCTCGCATGGGCCAGTAGGCCTGTTGCAGTGTTCCTTATTTCTTATGTTCTTTCTTATGAAAGGGTAGGCAAATGGAAAGTGTGTTGAGAGGAAATTGAAGAGCGGGGAGGATGGTGGGGAATAGTAGGAAGATGAGATTGTGGTGAGGAAGGTGGCAGAGTGTGGAGGAAGATGGAAGAGTGGAGAGGAAGATGGAAGAGTGGAGAGGAAGATGGAAGAGTGGAGAGGAAGATGGAAGAGTGGAGAGGAAGGTTGAGGAGGAAGAGAGAGTGAAGCAATCAGTACTGATGGATTAGGGTGGAGGTCAGACTGTCTGTCTGTTGTGTCACAGCAGAGGCAACAGTTACACACACACACACACACACACACACACACACACACACACACACACACACATACACACACACACACACACACACACACACACACACACACACACACACACACACACAATATGCTAAGTGGTATCACACAAACATTCGCTCTGGGATGGCTATCGCTCCTAATGTACGCAACTAACATGGCTGAGATGTGTTCTATTTATTTAAAAGAAGAGAACAAACACTGCAGAACACAGAGGAAGGCTACCAAAAAAAAAACTGAAGAGGTCTGGTGGGAGAAGCAGCTACTGGAATTCAACAACAGCGAGTGCAAGGTCATGAAACTCGGGGCTCTGAATGAAGGGAAATACAAATTTTAGCAGAGTAAATATTGAACAATTATACAACAATATTGATAAGATAAAAGTGCAAACATATAACAATTTTTTATTGACTTTGACAAGATGGGTTTTACAAGTCACAAACACATCTGATTGTGACTTTGATTAAGACGTTGGCCCGACACAGTGGGTTGTTATTCAACACATTTGTGTTGTATTATATAAAGCCATATCGAAATTTAAAAAAGGTTAAGATTTTGATTGATAATCAACCAAATGGCATCGAAAGTTGGAAATTGTTTGCTAGTCAGCCAGTGATAGTTTGCTTCTTGGTCACTGTGGCAAATGCATGACCAGTACACAATGGTTACAGTTAGGGTATGGCAGATCACACTGGCCACTAGCAAGTTGACCAGAACACAATTGTTCACAAGCTTGGTTGACCAGACTCACAACTGGCCACTAGCAAGGTTGACCAGACACACAACTGATCACAAGCTTGGTTGATCAGACTCACAACTGGTCACTAGCAAGGCTGACCAGACACACAACTGATCACAAGCTTGGTTGATCAGACTAACAACTGGTCACTAGCAAAGTTGACCAGACACACAGCTGATCACAAGCATGATTGACCAGACTCACAACTGGTCACTAGCAAGGCTGACCAGACACACAACTGATCACAAGCATGGTTGACGAGACTCACAGTTGGTCACTAGCATGGATGACCAGACACACCTGTCACATGTGTGTCATAGCCATCACAATCAAAGTGTTATTTAGCATCCATACACATATGTAAACACCACACACACACACACACACACACACACACAAACATGCGCACACGCGCAAGCAGAATGTTTATCAAACTATTATATTCACAAAAGTGGAGAAGGGTAGTGGTGTAGCGGCAGATACAGTGGCAGCAGTAGTGAAAGTGTAAAAGGGCAGATAAGGGCAGGTGAGTCAACACAGGCTGGACCAGTGGTGTGTCATGTTGTGGTGTGGCAGTCACTACCACCACCACCACTATCCCCACCATAACCAGTCTCAGCTCTCCTACCGTATCACCCCACCTCTCTTACACCAACACAAGGTGCCAAGGAGCGACAGGAAGAAGATATCAAGTGTATGATGAGAAAGGCAAGACTGCTGCCAGGTATCACCATACGCAATGGTTGTCAGCAGATAAAATAAAGCAGTCACCAGAAGGCACAAACACTCACTGTCTTCAAGAAGGAACTTGACAAAGTTATTCAACCCGAGTTTCAACTCAGCCGAACTCTTCTGCTTGCGTTGAGCTGCGTGTAGGGAAACCAACAACTTGCACTGCTGGCGAGGAAAGCCTGGTCACATTTAGATTTTTGCCACCGAAGTGGCTACTTTAATGTGCACCTCGTATCCATCCTGTGGAGGGTAGCGCAAGAGCATATGGATACAAAAGAGGCCTAGGAACTAGGACTCAAAAGGTTTAACAGGAGTACATCTGGATTTATATCTACAGTTCACCTCTCTGTTATAAGCAAATTTAGGGAATTTGCTTAATATATCTCGTATCCTATTTTCATTAATATCTTGACATGTCACACAGGTTATTACACTATCATTATATTCCTCAAACCTGGTCAGAGAGCGAATATGAACGAAAGTTTTCCATGGTGAATTATCAAGAAATTGTTATAATAATAACCATTAATATTTAAAGGGGTGGACCGGTAAGCTAGGGAAAGGCCTCGGTCAGATGACCAAAAGCTCCAATGGCGGGTCATCATCTGACTAAGACCGGCGTCAGGAAACACTTGTCCTGTGTCCTGACGAATCTTACATAACCTAACGTAACCAGACGAATAAAATAACCATGTTCTCATTTACCTGGAGCTGTCACAGCAGAGGACAGCAGAGTGCGGAAACTCTTGCAAGAACTTACCGAAGCTGTTCTTTCAGGTTAAGGAACGTCAAATACCAGAGGTCATAAGCGCCGTTTTTGAGGTAAGTAGGACGCTGTCATTCACAAATACCTTAAGCTCTAAAACGTGGATTTAACTAACTCTCAATATATATACACAGGGAGATACACCACTAAGTGTAAGACTGTCCAGGGCCGTGTCTGAGACACTACTCGCCAGGGTGGTTAATTGGTCCTCTTAAGCGACGTCAACAATTAGGATATGTACTTACAGTGCATCGTTATGAAAGATATCTTAGGTCGAAAGTTGTATATGAATGGTATACAATACTGACAAGATGAAGAATTAGACACATGTGCAACATCTGGGTATCTATATTTGTAGACTTTTCACCATCCAGTGGCTTTATCAGTACAATACAAGGGCATAATGTGAAGAAAGGAGAACTATATACAGAAGATGAGGTAATCAGTCCCTCAGTCTTGGAGTTCGTGAGGAGCACCTTAGTCTTGAAGACTATGGTGTGAAACGTCTACAAATAAAGATATCCAGATGTTGCACTTGTGTCTAATTCATCAGGTCGAAAGCTGTAAAGACTAAATAAATTAAGGTAGGAAACAGTTACTGACCTTGCGTGCCCACCAGGATGAGTGGAACTTCGTTGGTGTTGCGGTAGTGAGCCATCTTGGCGTAGTAGTTGTAGATGGCGTTAAAGGAGGACTCATTCTCAAGGCTGAACACGAAGATCACAGCGTCCACCCACGCCGTGAACTGTGGCAGATACTTCAGTTAGTGTACGTAAACGGTTCAGAGAACCGACAAGTTGATAAAGTAGACGCTTGTGCAACACTTGAGTATCTTTAGTGAGGAAACGTTTCGCCACACAGTGGCTTCATCAGTCCAGTACAAGGAAGAATGGTAAAGATGAGAAGGAGTTTGAGGTAATCAGTCCACCAATCTTCATGGACTGATCACATCGATTTCAGGCTGAGGGACTGATTGCCTCAAGCTCCTTCCGATCTTCCACCACTCTCATTTGTACTGGACTGATGAAGCCACTGTGTGGCGAACTTAACAGATTTCCATTTTGCAACATTATCAAATTATCACAATTTATTGCACGATGGTATCAGATTTATATAACTACAAACTGATGTCTGACAAGACGACCAGAGACAATGAAGAACACCACACAACCACACACACACACACACACACACACACCACACACACACACACACACACACACACACACACACACACAACAACAAGAACAAGGGGACACAATTGGAAGCTGAAAACCCATATGAGTCATAGGGATGTTAGGAAGTATTTCTTTAGCCTTAGAGTTGTCAGGAAGTGGAATAATCTGGAAAGTGAAGTAGTGGAAGCAAATTCCATACATAGTTTTAAGAAGAGGTATGATAAAGCTTATGGAGCAGGGAGAGAATGAATTAGTATCGACCAGTGAAGAGGCGAGGCCAGGAACTATGACTCGACCCCTGGAACAACATATAAGTGAGTACATACAGGTGAGTACACACCAGTGAAGAGGCTGGGCCAGGAACTGGGACTCGACCCCTGCAACCTCAACTAGGTGAGTACACACACACACACACACACACACACACACACACACACACAGGATATTAAGTCCGCTGACGGCCATGAACATAACAGAGAGAAAGAGGCGAAACAACTGGAGACACAACACAGCCTCTCTTCAAGAGTGAAACTCGTGCAGATTTGAACGTTTCCAGGTTTCTTTCGACCCTCCAACTTTCATACGTAAAGAAATTTTTTTTTAACCCCCCCCCCCCTTTGTGGTTAAAATAGGTTTTAAAAGTTTATGTAACGTGACTTAACTTGAGGAAACCCGCGTGTGTGTTTACACGAGGTTAAGAGAAATTGAGGCTGTGAACCACGTAAGAAAATTAAACGTTTTAAAATGAGGACAGCTGGGAGGGGAACAGTCGTAAACCACAGCCAGCATGGTTTATGTTAGGTTTATGTTCACTCATAAACCTTCAAATAAACAGATTATAAGTGTAGGTGATTACTATTGTAGGTGATTATTACTGTAGGTGATTATTATTGTAGGTGATTATTATTGTAGGTGATTATTACTGTAGGTGATTACTATTGTAGGCGATTATTACTGTAGGTGATTACTATTGTAGGTGATTATTATTGTAGGTGATTACTATTGTAGTGATTATTATTGTAGGTGATTACTATTGTTGGTGATTACTATTGCAGGTGATTACTATTGTAGGTGATTACTATTGTAGGTGATTACTATTGTACGTGATTATTATTGTAGGTGATTACTATTGTAGGTGATTACTATTGTAGGTGATTACTAATGTAGGTGATTATTATTGTAGGTGATTACTATTGTAGGTGATTACTATTGTAGTGATTATACTGTAGGTGATTATTATGTAGGTGATTATTATTGTACATGTGATTATTATTGTAGGTGATTACTATTGTAGGTGATTACTATTGTAGGTGATTACTATTGTAGGTGATTATTATTGTAGGTGATTACTATTGTAGGTGATTATTACTGTAGGTGATTACTATTGTAGGTGATTTATGTAGGTGATTATTATTGTAGGTGATTACTATTGTAGGTGATTATTATGTAGGTGATTACTTATTGTAGGTGATTATTATTGTAGGTGATTATATTGTAGTGATTATTATTGTAGGTGATTACTATTGTAGGTGATTATATTGTAGGTGATCTATTGTAAGTGATTATTATGTAGGTGATTATTATTGTAGGTGATTACTATTGTAGTGATTATTATGTAGGTGATTATTGTAGGTGATTATTATTGTAGGTGATTACTATTGTAGGTGATTACTATTGTAGTGATTATTATTGTAGGTGATTATATGTAGGTGATTATTATTGTAGGTGATTATTATTGTAGGTGATTTACTAATTGTAGGTGATTATTATTGTAGGTGATTATTATTGTAGTGATTATTATTGTAGGTGATTATTATTGTAGGTGATTACTATTGTAGGTGATTATTATTGTAAGTGATTTTATTATATTGTAGGTGATATTATTGTAGGTGATTACATTGTAGGTGATTATTATGTAGTGGATTATTACTGTAGTGATTACTATTGTAGGTGATTATTATATGTAGGTGATTATTATTGTAGGTGATTATACTATTGTAGTGATCATGATTATTGTAGGTGATTATTATTGTAGGTGATTATTATTGTAGGTGATTATTATTGTAGGTGATTATTATTGTAGGTGATTATTATTGTAGGTGATTATTATTGTAGGTGATTACTATTGTAGGTGATAACTATTGTAGGTGATTACTATTGTAGGTGATTATTGTAGGTGATTACTATCGTAGGTGATTATTATTGTAGGTGATTATTATTGTAGGTGATTACTATTGTAGGTGATTATTATTGTAGGTGATTATTATTGTAGGTGATTATTATTGTAGGTGATTATTATTGTAGGTGATTATTATTGTAGGTGATTACTATTGTAGGTGATTACTATTGTAGGTGATTACTATTGTAGGTGATTATTATTGTAGGTGATTACTATTGTAGGTGATTATTATTGTAGGTGATTACTATTGTAGGTGATTACTATTGTAGGTGATTATTATTGTAGGTGATTATTATTGTAGGTGATTATTATTGTAGGTGATTACTATTGTAGGTGATTATTATTGTAGGTGATTATATTGTAGGTATTATTATGTAGTGATTATTATGTAGTGATTATTATTGTAGGTGATTATTATTGTAGGTGATTACTATTGAGGTGATTTTATTGTAGGTGATTACTATTGTAGGTGATTATTACTGTAGTGATTATTATGTAGGTGATTATTATTGTAGGTGATTATATTTGTAGGTGATTACTATTGTAGGTGATTACTATGTTAGTGTGATTATATTGTAGGTGATTATTATTGTAAGTGATTATATTGTAGGTGATTATATTGTAGTGATTACTATTGTAGGTGATTATTATTGAGGTGATTATTATTGTAGGTGATTATTATTGTAAGTATTATATATTGTAGGTGATTATTATTGTAGAGTGATTATTATTGTAGGTGATTATTATTGTAGGTGATTATTATTGTAGGTGATTATTTATTGTGTGATTACATGTAGTGATTATTATTGTAGTGATTATTATTGTAGGTGATTATTATTGTAGGTGATTACTATTGTAGGTGATTATTATTGTAGGTGATTATTATTGTAGGTGATTACTATTGTAGGTGATTATTTGTAGGTGATTACTATTGTAGGTGATTACTATTGTAGGTGATTAGATTACTGTAGTGATTTATAGTAGGTGATTATTATTGTAGGTGATTACTATTGTAGGTGATTACTATTGTAGGTGATTATTACTGTAGATGATTATTACTGTAGATGATTATTATTGTAGGTGATTATTATTGTAGGTGATTATTATTGTAGGTGATTATTACTGTAGGTGATTATTACTGTAGATGATTACTATTGTAGTGATTATTTGTAGTGATTATTATTGTAGGTGATTATTATTGTAGGTGATTATATTGTAGGTGATTATTATGTAGGTGATTACTATGTAGGTGATTATATTGTAGGTGATTATTATGTAGGTGATTATTATGTAGGTGATTATATGTAGGTGATTATTATGTGAGGTGATTATTATTGTAGTGATTATTATTGTAGGTGATTACTATTGTAGGTGATTATTACTTGTAGGTAGTTACTATTGTAGGTGTATTATGTAGGTTATTATTGTAGGTGATTATTATTGTAGGTGATTACTATTGTAGGTGATTATTATTGTAGGTGATTATTATTGTAGGTGATTATTATGTAGGTTGGATTATATGTAGGTGATTATTAGTGTAGGTGATTATTATTGTAGGTGATTATTACTGTAGGTGATTACTATCGTAGGTGATTATTAGTGTAGGTGATTATTATTGTAGGTGATTATTATTGTAGGTGATTATTATTGTAGGTGATTATTATTGTAGGTGATTACTATTGTAGGTGATTATTATTGTAGGTGATTATTACTGTAGGTGATTATTATTGTAGGTGATTATTACTGTAGGTGATTATTACTGCAAGGTGATTATTATTGTAGGTGATTATATTGTAGGTGATTATTATTGTAGGTGTATATTACATTGTAGGTGATTATTATTGTAGGTGATTATTATTGTAGGTGATTATTATTGTAGGTGATTATTATTGTAGGTGATTATTATTGTAGGTGATTATTACTGTAGTGATTATATTGTAGGTGATTATATATGTAGTGATTATTATTGTAGATGTTATTATGTAGTGATTATTAGTGTAGGTGATTATTACTGTAGGTGATTATATTGTAGGTGATTATTATTGTAGTGATTATTATGTAGGTGATTACTAGTGTAGGTGATTATTATGTAGGTGATATTTAGCTATATTTAGGTGATTACTATTGTAGGTGATTATTATTGTAGGTGATGATTATGTAGGTGATTATTATTGTAGGTGATTATTATTGTAGGTGATTATTATTGTAGGTGATTATTATTGTAGGTGATTATTATTGTAGGTGATTATTATTGTAGGTTGATTATTATTGTAGTGTGATGATTACTGTAGGTGATTATTATTGTAGGTGATTATTTATGTAGGTGATTATTATTGTAGGTGATTATTATTGTAGGTGATTATTATTGTGTGTTATGAGGTGATTATA